TCCACCATTGTTGCCATTGAGTACATTTATGTATGGGGAGAATTTTGCTTCTGACTTGATGGGGGGCTTTCTGGCCCACAACTGGAAAACACTATCTTCAAGGGTAGTCAAGGTATCAGCAGTGCAGGTACCATATTATTAGCTAAGGTGGTCTGTTGCTCAGTAACTTCTAGGCGTTGGCCCTGTGAAGTTACTACCAAGGAAAGTTCAGCCAGACTGAATATAAGAGATGGACCCATCAAAAAGCAAGGGGCAAACCTGTCATTCACTGAATCAATTAATTCACTCATTTCTTTCACATCTTTGTCAAGGTCAAATCGGTCCCATTTCAAGTGATCCACCTCATTAGCTAGAGCAATCAACTCTCTAATACATTGGATTCCAGGGGCTCCTGAAAGACCAGGGCAACAGCCATCTTCACTAATAACCCCAGTTGGACTAACAACAGACACCATCACCTCACGCAAGGTAGCAACCTCTTGTTGTAAGTCAGCAACCTGAGTTGTCAGTGCAAGCACCTGAGGATCAGGCTGAGGGGCTTTAGTAGGGCAATCCTGACTGCAGATGGATGCTCTTAACTCTTGAATGGCATCCCAGAGCCTCTGTTCTCTATCCAATAACTCATAAGATGTAGGAGAAGGTGGGGCATCCAATTTGGAGGTATACAGTTCATTTAATTTAGTCTGGAGTTTGGCAATGGTAGTGGCAGTAGCAGCCCTTTCTTAATCAAATTCCTTGCCAAGTTTTTGGAGGCCCTTTGCAGCATGGACTGCTACTTGCTATAATTGGTCAAAGGAGTAAGCACTGAACTTATTGAGTTGCTGCACAAGTTGTTCAAAGATGTTGAGATAGGTGTTTAGAATGGAATCTACTTGGATACTCCAGGGCTGTTCCAACTGGTGGAACTCATGAAGACGCTCTCTGACATACTCAGGGATAGACTGGCGCATTTTTTTAATGGAGTTGACCAAGTGGGATTGGGAGGTGGCAGAGTTGCGCTGATTGTTGGATACTAAGGAAAACAGGAATGTATCCACTGCTGACAGGCCACAAATTGATCTCAGTGATGAGTGACGGCTGCTTGTAGAGATAAAATCTCCTGAACATGGAGCCCAAACACCATTAGATGATGGGCTAAGGCAGGTTGTACAAAGGATGACAATATGTGCTCAGTGGAGCCAGCCACTGAGAGGAGATGCTGTGGAAATTGTAGAGCCACAATCAATTCATAGTATTCTGCTTGACTGAACTGAGGCTGGAGGCAAGGGATGGCTCCATCATGGGATAACCCAAGGGAACTGCCATGAATTGCTCCAAGTCAGGGGTACCCAAAGGGTAGGCCACTAGACAGGGATCATTCTCAAGATTCAGCACAGTAGGGACAATAGGCAGGTTGTCAATGTCTTTCTTAATAGGAGGACTGGTAGTTTCAGGCAAAGTTGGCTCTTGTATGAGAGGAGGTAAAGGTCCTGAAAACATGGTTGTAAAAGGGATAACCAAGGGGCTTACAGCCCCTGTAGTGAGCACCATTTTTGTTGTGATCTGAGGCACGGCACATAGTCACAATGGGAAATCCTAACCTTAGGATTGGATTTGTACTAAATCTTGGTTAGAATGACAGGGAAGGCTATACATTTACCTTGTGGCCCTGGTTGAATAATATCTACTAGACGTGGCTAGAGAGGCGCCAAAGTACTGGGTAACACAAAGATAAAAATTTGAATATAACTTAAATTTTATTGGGTATAAAAATTAGGAATATATACTGTGTAGATTTACCACAAAACAGTACATGTATGGTAAGATCACTTGCCACAAGCATTAGTGGGGCAAGTGGGTTGCTTAGAATCAGGAAACCAAACAATTGTATTTCCCAGTTTGGATACAGACTCATTTTTAGGGGCAAAAGCAAAGAATAGAGATTTGTTATCAAAATAACCCATTGAAGGAAAAATCAAAACATGGTAAATGACAGCATTCACAACACTCAGATACTTGGGGTTCTCTACAATATCCTTTTTTTTACTGTTTTTATTTTCATAATGATTAATTGATATGTGGTTGGGTAGTGTTTGAGCAATAACAAGTGCAATTACAAGTCCTCATGCCATGATACATTAGTTATATATTATTTATCATGGTGGTATTTTTTTGGCAGGTTAAATGGCAAAATAAGTTTAGGCCATGTGGGTTCATTGAATAACATGATAAGGTATATAATAATTTGATGTTGATAAGCATGGCAAGAGTACATGGTTGGGGTGTCAATGGGTTTTTCTTTGGTGTTTTTAGTAGTATTTGACATTAAATATTGGATTGTGTAGAGGATTCATGAAATTCATTCTTGCTTTTTCATCACTCTCATTCTGACTCTTTTTTATACTGGGAAATTTTTTATGTGAGCTTTAGCAGGCCTGGATTTCAGGTGAGCAATCCTGGTGTTCAATTTTCTGCCATCTGGCAATCACTTTCATGCTTTTCACTATTCATAGTTTTAGCTGCAGACCATCTCTCTCATTTCATGTTAATATTATTTCATTTAAAAGCCAAATACATAAAAAATTAAAATGATTGAGAGGAAAGCAACAATTGTTAACTAGATATCTTTATTTTTATAATAATGTTTTCATTATATACCATTTGGAGTATAATTGACTGAAACCCCATCCCCATTTCTGGAATCACATATGGATTTCTATCACATGATTTATGACATAAAAGCGTCATTTAATCAAGATTTTTAACAAAATGATCTTCACATTATTAACCTATATGATTTTACCCTGCTACTATCTGAAATTGCATGATTCCTTGTGTGGACATGTACTTCCATGGTGTAAAGCATTCCAGACTTCCAGTGCCAAAACCCTGTGGAATATTCTCATTACTGATCCAATATTTCAATGGATTCAATAAGCTGATCATTTTAAAAATAGATACCCTTGTCATAACTTGACACAGCTAATCCCATTTTGGTCTTACAATTGTTTTAACTGAGCCAATGATAGTTCAGTATTTGATTGGGGAAGACAACAGTCCAATAGAAAGGACAAGAATGAATAGAATAAGGTATTGTTTATTGTAGAATATTGTGGTTAATATACTATATCAAGAAGCCACAGGCCCACAGGGGGTGGCACAGTGGCAGGTTTGATATAAGGATTGGCCTGTGGAATAACTTTCACAGGAATCATTATGTTGAATTGGCATTGCTCCTAATTAGGGGATATTGCCCGCAATTCAACATTGCTATAAGATTGACCCATGTTGTTAGACATGTCATGGCGTATCTCATTGAGTGCCCCATGTGTATTGTAAGATATGTTAGCAGGCAAGGATAGAAACTTGTTGCAACACAATTAACAGCATGTTAATCATATTTTTGGGGTTTCACTGGTTAACATAAACCTTTGTCTTGAAACAGTAAAAAAACTAGTGTCCCTATGATTAAATGCCTGCTAAACATATTCCAGGGTATCAATCACCTTCCTGGTTAATTAATTGGTTTAGAGACACCTAGTTTTATAATCTTAATTAGTCAGATTATTACATTAGTCCCTCAATTAGTACAGTTTAATTGATTTCTGGGTACTCCATCACCACTATGGGTTTAACTGAATTGATAATATTGCAACTGAAATTACTCCCCCGCCTGCAATATATCTCATGATACACAGGGGCGCTTGGTGAGTTGCCTCATGACATGAAAAGGGTATGGATCAATATAAGTACATTGTTAAATTGTGGGCACTATCTACTAATTAGGAACATTGATAATTTGACACACTGATCCCCTGCTCAAGTTATTTCCAATCCAATCCTTAAATTGAATCTGTCACTGTGCCACCCCCTGGTAGACTTGTGGCATCCTAATATAGTATAAAGACATACTATTATCTAAATAAAGATTATCTTATTCCTATTTCTGTTCTTTCTATTTAAACTGTTGTCTTCACCAATCTAAATACTGAACTATAATTGGTTCAGTTGCAACAATAAGGAGGGATTTACTTCTGGTAAATTTCTTCAAGAATGGGGATTTCCTCTAAGAAGATTCTTTACAAATTATAAGGAAAGTAGGGTATTAAGAATTCATATTTGGAAATTTCCAAACAACCAATCCTATTGGTTTGAATTTCAATACATAAATTTTGTCACAATTCAACAACTTTGTTTCACCACAGTATAAATTTACTGTAATATGGTCACAATTACCCCTCTAATTTTGCTGCTACCAGTATCAAGAGAAATCTTATGTAAAGTTAGATTAGGAGCAATATATATATTTTGAAACATGTATTAGATAATATAGTAAAAGACATAAATCAGGAATTTTATATTGATCCTGATAATTTTTAGTATTGTATTCTGAATGAATTCACATGCAGTATAATTAATTGGGTTTGTTTTTTTACATGTGATAATCTCAATATCAAAATAGCATCATTTTTTCTTTACAGTGTTCTCATCAATTCTTGTGGGAAGAAATTGACTTTGTGCATTTATAAAAGCTATCAAATATAGTGCTAGTTTTATCATTTTTAGTAAACATATGACCCATCAGAAGGGAATTCTACTTTATAATATTTACATTAAGGAGACTACAATGGGAAAGTAGCTTATTATGAATACTTCAGTTTAAAGAAATAGAATATATATACTAGTAACAAAAAGAAACTTGCATACCAAGTGACTTTTATAACTAGGAAGAAAATAAAAGAGAATTATTTGGCTGTACAAAAGAATATTATTAAGCTTTAACTATACTATTAAAATACATATAGGTCTACACCTGGCATCTCAAGGCAGCCTCAAGAATAGCTTTTTACCATGGCTATTTTCAAGGATTATAGTATGTTTTTATCCCATAATATAACTATATATCTTTAAACAGAATATGATCAATTAGTTTGATATTTTTAATTGGTGCATCTTTTTCATACTTGAATTACCCTTAAGACAAAAATTTTCAACAAAAACTTTTTTCAATAATACCAAAAAAATTGCGCCAGGAATTGAATTTGGATTACAGGAATCAGAATCCTGTGTGCTAACCATTACACTATGCAAGCAGCCTTTTTATTTTTTAAAAAGAACCCCCAGCAGGGGCTCAAGAAACTTTATTACTTTATTCAATAAAATAGGGAAGGTATTGGGGGAATGTAAGTGTTTGGTTTCCAAGGTCATGGAGGGTATGCATCAGGCGCTGCCCGGAGAAAAAATAGGCTTTGGCATTGAAGATCCAATAATTGATAGCACTGGGATTTGAACCTGGGGCCCTCAGGGGAAGAGATGGCCGCCTAGAACCACTCAGGCAATTTTTTTTGGAAACACAATTTTATTTGGGGTTCAAGACAATGTTAAAAGGAACACAACCAAGATAAATGGAGATGGGGGAGTATGTGAAGGGACGTCCTTCCACTGGTTACCCTTGTGGGATACTATAGACTCAGAGGATAACTCCTTCAAGTGTTTGTGGGCACCTGGTACTGTGTGATCCCACCTGAAGTTTTGGGCACAGGCTTTTTCAACCAGGGATCTGAACTTTTCTTTCATAAGGGCTGAGCTGAAGTGGGCATCATCAAAAATGACTTTAATTTTGGTTGTGTGGATTGTCCATAACACAAGGTGGTAAGCTATCACTTGGACTGGCCTAGTAAATGTTTAAGACTTGTCATAAAGAAGAGGTCAAACTTGGGTCAAAATAGTCTTGTGAGCCCCAACATCTGCGCACCTGAGTCCAGAACCTGCTCACAGTTGGGCACCTAAAGTACTTATGTTCAAGGTCCGTGTCTTCATATGGGCATAGCCCTAGAATTACTCAGGCAAGTTCCTGTACTACAAAACCAGCCTTATTTGAATGTGCCAGATTTTTGAATGTATTTATAACAATTTTAAAGAAAAATATTTTACTGATCATTTTTTACAAGATAAATGCAACTTTGTTATATAAAAATACAGAAAAAATTAAAATTAAAGTATAAAATAATATAACCTTTTTATTCTCAATTCTTTGTCTGATTTAGGCTGCTGTATTGTCAACAAGCAACATGTTTAATTATCTAAAGACGTTTTTTTAAAAAGCATGATACTGTAAATTCAGAACCTAAACATAAAAATGCAGGATTGTGAAATTCTTGGTCCAAATTTTGAATCACTTTTGCGGGATAGCCTTTTTTAATTAAATTGAATTCTTTGTATTTTTATTTGGATTTTTTAAAATGCAGGAACTCATAGACACTATGCAAAGTTCAAGTCAAACTGCATATTTCCTATGGAAAAAATGAATTAACTGGAATCAGATTTGAAGTGTTCAAATCCATCAACCATTTTCATTAAGTTTACTATGTTTTTTGGAATTGCGGGATTGTCAAATCCATGAACCAAATTTCAAATCACTTTTGAATGCCACTAGTAAACTCAGGTATTAATTGTGGGAACTGTAATCCAAATTGAATGTACAGTAAGAAACTAGGACAAATCAACCCAAATCAAGAAGCTCCACTCTGGATAAAATCAAATGAAAAATCCAATCCCAACAACCATGTTTAAACATGAAATTAAGTGAAATCTAAAATTGTCTAAACTGGAAGTAAAACAATATTCTGCACTCTAAATCACTAATATAGCAATCATAAACCCATATAATGATATATGAGCTACCCTCCTGATGATGCAGAATTTTTTAATAGTTTTTTGGCCCCCAGCATAGCCAGGGGCCAAAAAACTTTGTTTCAAGGAACAAGGAGAGGTGGGAAAGATAAACCATAAGATTACTACACTATGTATTTATGTATTGCTATTAAGGATATTTGATTACAGTGGATTTTATAAAACACTAATAATAAAATAGAATTATAAATTACAATCTATCAAATCATGTTGTCTTTTCCTTGATGTTTTGATAGTTCATTTGCTGTTGATAAGGTGCTTGCGTTTAATTGGATAGCTTCACCTCCAGTTGCCTTGGTGATAGGAAATCAAGTTGCCTCCCTGAGACCAGCTGTGGTTGCAGAGGTGGCTTGATTTCCTATTGCCAAGGCAACTGGAGGTGAAACTATCCAATTAATTGCAGGCACATTATCAACAGAAAATGAACTATTAACACATCAAGGAAAAGACAATGTGATAAGATAGATTGTAATATATAATTCTATTTTATTATTAGCGTTTTTTAAATCTACTGTAATCAAGCATCTAAATTTTAGCTGCCCTAAAATAGAATAGGGCAATTTTTGAGAATGCCTATGATTCCTAAAAGAATTAGCACAAATCCACTCTAGATCCTTTAGCACGCTTTTTGAGAGGGCACATGCCTAAAGTCAAAGTGTGGAGATTGAAATCTCCAAATCAATGGATTTTTCAATCTCTGCACTTTTTTAAAATAAAAAAATTTCCCAAAAAATTTAATATTTTCTTAAATTTGACTTTTTTAAAATATTTTTACTAGTAGCTAAAATCAAAAAACCAAGTTCAAAGTGCCCAAATTGATGAAATTTAAAACACACCTTAATTTATTTTGGCTTTTAAAATAGAATTTATTTACCCCTTTGACAGAGGGGACAAAATTGAAAGTGCAAAAATTGAAGTGCAAAATAATCTTCAATTTAATATTTTATACATCAAAATTAAAAAGAATTTAAATTTAAATTTTTTTAATATGTAAAAAAAAGAAATCAAGAGCTAAAAAAAAGCTTTTTTAACTTGAAATATTTTTAATTTATTTTGTTCAAATCTTAATATAAAATACTATTTTAAGCTCTTTCTTTTTAAAAAATAAAATTTTGTCCCATAAAAATTTATTTAAAAATTTACATATGGTTTCTTAATGGGTGCAGAAATCAAAAAGTAGTCAAATCAAAATCCAAAAAGGTACCAAAAAACTAGGACCACTTAATATTAAATTTTTACAAAACATTAATATTTTATTCATTATGTTTTAATAAGTTCCTCAAATCAAAAGCAAGGAAATCAAAAATCAACTTTTTAGATTTAGTCACACTTTTTATAAGCTTATAAAATTTTAAATAATTGGGTCATTATTTTTCTTATTATGCCTAGGTGCCAGATTTATTCTTTTATAACTTAATTGCATTATTCATATTCAAATTATTCAGAAAGCTTAAAATACAATCAACAAATTCCAAAACTTTAATTGATCTTGGGCCTAGATGATTTTTTTTAAAAATAAATTATCAATTTTAGAATTGAAAATTGCAACTTATAGTATTACTGAAAATATCTTAAGTGCTACTACAAACTACAAACCAAAAATATTTATGATGAGTTACATGGGAGAGTAATAGCAGCCCCAAAGCTATAAATGCTATTACCCTATCTTTGGCTCATCATAAATATTCTTAGTTTGTTTCAGAAAAAAATGTTGTTGTTTTTGAAAGACTGATAACTATATTTAAAATACACCCTCTAGTAAGCTGCCCTACTTCATGAACTTGCCCTAGTGCACCACTAGCATCTTCTGATATTTTTGTTTCTCTGGTATCATCACGTGATTTCAAATGATAAGTTATCTCAGAATATTCTGAGAAACTTTCAAATGTTAAAGGTGAAGTATACAACTTCCCATTTTTCATTAAATATGAAATATTAATGCGCAGATTTTTAACTTTGAGCTCTTTCCTTATAGGCCTAACTTTTCTCTCATAAATATAAAAGAATGACTTTTGAGAAATATTTGAGCCTGATAGCGCTGATTTATATAACTCTTTTCCTTTTTCTTCTTGCTCAAAAATATTTTTAATATCATTTATATTCTTAATATAAAAATGATTTTCTTTCTCTTTTAATGTTTTTGATATTACACCAAAGTGACCATCAACAATGCTTTTTCCATGACATTCCACAAAACAATTATATTTTATAGAACCCTTAATATATTTAGGTGCCTCTTTAAATAAGTAATATAAAAATTCATATGATCTAAAAGGATTTCCATTATCAGTCCATACTTTTATATTTTTTATTTTTTTAAATCTATCTAATTTAAGAATTTTTATAAAACACTCACCTGAAAATAAAGAATCATGTGATAATATTTGAGACAAAAAATCATGGTATTCATATTTAATTTTATTGTTTTTCTTAAAAACTAATGCAAACCCTAATAATGAGATTGGTTTTTTGAATTAAAACAATTATTGGTCTCAATTGGACCACCTCCAACCTTTAAGTTTTCTTTATAATCTATAACTACAACACAAGACTCATCATCTAATTCATTAATATCTTTTTTATATTCACAATTTTGATGAACATAAAAGTCTTGGTGCTGATTAATAGTCTTTAAGTCATTGTCTATAGATTCTGGTAATGGCAAGTTTTTACTTTCACATTCTTCCTTCTTTTTTTCTAGTGAATTTCTTAAATTACAAATATTGCACATATCAGTTTGTTTTTTACTTTTTATTATATTTTTAGGGATTAATTTATAGTAAGTAGAAATTGAAACCAAAATTTCATTTTTTATTTTCATATTTTCATATATTTCTTTTTTTGTTTTAAGTAGAGAGTATTTAATTTCAGTTGAGTAATTACTCATCTCTTTTTCTATATCTTTATAAATTTTTTCAGGCACTTTTTTTGTAAACTGGCTTGTTTCAAAAGAATTTTCCAGTAATTTTTTAATTATTTTTTAGGTATTTCTTTTTTAATGAATAGTTATTATTTTTTTGGCTTTTTTTGTTTAAACTTACATTTTTATTTTTATTTATTTTTCTTGAGTATTCAAACTCACTTTTGGTTATATTAAAACCCATATCATTAAGCTCTTTTAAAGAGTAACTGGAAGTAACCAGAGATCGCAAGGCTGGGAGATGTTTTTGGGGAGAAGATTTCATGAGATCCTTTAAGTTTTCAATGAACTCATTGTCTTTTTGAATTTGAATAGTTGGCAGGAACTGAGCTTTCCCAAATTCAGTTTGAGTAAGGAAGTGCTTGATGAAATTATCAAGATCATCACCAGCAATAAAGAGGAATGCCTTTTTTAACATTGCAATTCTCTCTCTTTTTGTTGAAGCTCCCAAGGAAAAAAAGGGTAGCATGGCAGAAGTAA